ACACTAAATTAATTCAGAACATAAAATAGTTAGGTTAAAATCATTTTACACAAGTATTTTCCTACTTACCTCAGGCTCAACTGTATGAACGGCGGGATCGGCGGTTCGACCGGTTAATGTGGCAGAGGCAAGTCTCTGTGGCAGAAAATGGTTACGAGCCGAAAGGACTCGGTTTAATTTTGCAGCGGTAGATGCTAGCGTCGACTGCATATTTCAAATTATTTTCGCACAATTGCATAAGAAGCAAGCGCCGCATATATATGCAGGAGTTGTTCAGTTCTGGGATGGCAATCATTCATAGCGGAAGGAAGGACACGTGTGGAAGGAATGCACGTGGCAGTTGTTTCTAGTTGCTTCGTGTCATGTTCGGAATCACCTAGAACGTTAAGGAACTTTAATCGATTGTCAAAGAGTCATGTTATATGTACAAATATTTTTTACAATATTGGTTGACAATTATACTTGTCATCATCACATTCATCCATTTCAAAAATTGTTTTTAAAATTAGTGCACCAAATTTTGACAACATCAATGTTGTCATTCATTATTGTCAACAGCAATTATACAAGTAGATTATTTTGAAATTGGGACCCCTATTTTGTCACCAATTGAGCTATAAAATGCAAGCCTTGTATAGTCACATAGTTCAAGTATGAATGAACACGCTTTATCGTGGGACATTGCATGGTCCCAACTTCAAAAATCACAATGCACCAAAAGAGACTTGAACTTTTTGGATTCCTGTGGAATAATCTACTAATGAAATTCCCAACGATATTTTCGTGTCGTAGAAAAATAAATGTTTGATACCGATCGAAGTTAGGCATGAACTTTGGCTGTTTTCATATCAATTGCTCCATTGATTGAGAAATAAAGGTTACAGGTAAACATAATATAATGTTTAGTACTACGCAATGGCTCACTTCTACCTTTACAAAATATAAATATCCATAGATCGAAACAAACATTGATGTAAATTACTTCTTTCTTATACATGCAATTTTGCAATTTCCCTGTCCAGGGAACATGAGTTGATTTAATCGTAACAAATAAATAATCGTTTACTACTACCAGCCAGTCGTCCCATCATTGTACGACGTTCAGTTTCAATGCGAAACACCAACTGACCAACTTGCTTCATCAATGAAAGCTGATCAAACTATCCGTTCCCAACATTAGCAGCCTCGTAGAAAACAAAAGCACGACAAGCAAATGCATGTGTTGTGATGCAACTAACCTACTAAAGCGTTTCCAAGTCTCTCGACCAGTTTGTACTACGCTAGAGAAGTTGAACTGACCTCGACCCATGTTATCGGATGCAACAGGACGACTCACGATAATACCAGCATTGACTCCATGCGGTGCAATGGGCTGCCTCCAGAGTTTCCTACGGTGTTCTCTTCTGGCTTTTCTTATCCGGTTGAGCTCTTGGCGAATAACATTACGTACAGATTTCAAGTATGAGTTCATGTCATGATCTCTTTGAATGGTTCCTTCAGAACCATATGCAGCTCGATCACTCAGTATCTCAAGTGGATGTGGTGAGCTCAAAAACACAGCCTGTGCAGACCGGATTAGCCTTTCTGGCTCAACGTCTGATACTGAGCAGCTTAATAGATACAAACCACTCCCTGAAGGAAGAAGATCATGGCTGGGAGAAAATTTCTCATCCGGTTGAAGAATTAAAAACTCCCCCATTGGAGCATATAACAGCTTCTGTTGACGGGATAGCATGAATTAATATTTAAATTCATAGATTTGTGACAAAATGTATGACAATCTGAGAACGGAATTCAAACATTACCTGGTTATTAAGACATGGAAGATTGCGGAAGTTTTCATTTACAGCCTTAAGAAACTCTGCTACATGATCCGGATAATTGCAAGAGAAAGCTCGGGGAACAATGTCTCTGTGCATTGTGATTGCTCGGACATGATTTCGAGGCAATCTGAGGTCTCGTAGGAGACGATCTCCTCCACACATAATCGATGGTGCACCGAAAGTTATAGCAGGAAGTAATGAAGAAACAGGTACTCCAGCCCTTATTAGCAACATGAGATTTATGAGTACTGATAAACTACCACCAAGAGAGTGTCCAGTGAATCGAAATTTGGCATGTTCTCCATGAGATTTTAGGTGTGCATGAATTTCAGGCAACATCTGCTCGTAGGTCCCCTTTGCAGCCTCATATATACCTCTGTGCACGAGCACATCTAGTCCCTAAAGGAAGAAAACACATCAGTCCCTCTGTTATGACATTCTCCAAACGAGTCTTGTATAAAACTTTGGAAGAAAGACTTCATGAATGCACGCACAGATCTCATCGCTATATAACATCCAAGAACCCAACTCAAAAACAACTCAATGAAGTTCATCGCAGAAATGGTACACAAGATTGAAGAATTATTCATAGAATTACCTCAAACTTAACAGGCTCAAAGAGTAGATTGGCCTGCCATGATGCCAGTGACTCAGATCCCTATAAGCAATAAAACAGTATAAACATTTAGTAATGGAATAGCTTCATGTCCATTAATCCGAATCAGCTGTCCATTTTTGATAAACGAACTTTACCAAAAACCACAAGCAGCTATAACCTCTTATAGAAAAAGAGCCTAGTCATATTACCTGAATGACAAAGAATCTTGTCGCACTCTGATCGTCATCGCACACAAACCATTCACAAGGTGATGACTTTGTAGAGTTTAAATCATCCGCAACAGCCTGCTTTACTTCCTCCTTCGCAGCAACCACTGCCGTCACCGAGTCAGTGGTAGCCATTAATGAAGCTACATCCCCGTTCATCACGTTGACGTTGTCCATTCGACATTTTGTTTCTTCAAGAAAATTATTACTCGGCATGGATTTGGATTGTCTAAAGCGAAGAATGCTCTCCGTATGAGCATGCAAATATGAAGCAGCAGAAGCAGCAATCTCATAAGCAGCAGATGCATTTATCTGCTTCCTATTAGGATTCTCCATGCCACTTTCTGCCATTACATTTCCTTCAGCAACCCGAGCTTCATCAGGTGTCTTCTCTTCTTTTTGTTGGTCTTCAACCGATGCCTTCTCTTTCTCAGCTTTCAATTCTTGTTCTTTCTTTTCTAACGACGAAGTTACAAACCGTAGTCCAAGAAATCTCAGAAGGTTCTTAGGCTGTACCATGAAATTAAAAAAAAAATTGATAAGATATGTTCTAGCAAATATAATGCATCAACCAACTTTTTGTGCATAGCTACTCAATCAGACAATTTACTACTATAATTCCCCTTAATCAGGACCAAAAAATGTTGAACAAAGCAAAAAACTTTCACAAAATATCAGAAGAACAAAGCAAATTAAGAGGCTGGGAGACCAAAATTGCAAGCAGATCAAGTTGTGTTCTTCATAATAACAATGTATCTAGCAACGGATCACACCAGAATCGATGGCAAAGGTGTATCAAGATTCACATAAAAGTCCAACAAATTATACTAATTAGCAAACAAAAATAGCCAATTCAAAATAAAGAATCAACAGTGATCCAAAAACAATCACACATCAAGCAGATAATCTTCATCCCATTAGAACTAAGTAATCAATAAATCATGAATGAAAAAAATACCTTGATCTGGGGTATGGAATAAGCTAAAGCTCCCAAATAAGACATTTGAGCATATAATCTAGCTTCTGCTAAGGGAACTTTCTTAAGCAGCTTTGAAAATGATTCTCTATTGAATTCTATCTTTTCATCATCTTCTCCATCAATTGTACACACATCACAATCTTCATTTTCGTTACAACAATCCCCTTTCCTTTCATCATTTGCATTCATTCCCCCATTTTTATTGTCATCTTCTAATTTCATCCCCATTTCTTCAACCAATTTACGATCTCTTTCCCCTTCTTTCCGGAGGGACCTCACACGCAAAATCTTTAATACCCAATTCCCATTTTCCCCTTCCGAGTCTCCTTCTTCACTTCTGTTCTCTTCTTTTTCCTCCACCAAAACGCCGTCGTCCACAGCAATTGCCGGCTCGCACCGATTCTTGCCTCCAGGCCATAGAGATCTGAATGGGTACCTTAAAGCGAACCCCGACGGCGAATTCCTTGGTGGTGCCGCCGGTCCCAATGCATTTATTTTGGAAGGTTGGCCCACAGGTACATCCAGCATCCCATTTCCCAGGACGGCGAGTGGCGGCACAATTCCACGAATACCTGCCTTCAAACCCAAAGCATCCATTCTTGGAAAAGAAAAGTATTTCTTCTTTGTGAGATTTCTTCGTTCTCGATCAAATAGTATATTTCATACAACTTTTTGCATCTATATGTATCAGTATATAGCTATACAATACAGGTAGGATGTTAACGCTCAACACAATCTTTGAATTTTGAGTCGGCTTCTTTGCTGAATATATATGGAAGTTAAGAGAGACAAATTGTATCTTCTACGTTTTGAACTGAAAAAAAAAAAAAAAAAAAAAAAAAAAGGGGGAC